TGGTGTAAGTGGCTCGCATGCCTGTCATTCATAAAACAGTCCGTAGAATATTTAGAATAACTGACAGAAACCGTCACGGGCAAATGATGCAGCTGCACTGGCATCTTAGTCTTGCTGGGTGGTGGTGTTAACATTCGCTGGCACAAAGTTCCCGAAACGGTTTTGCATACATGGTATTTTGACCCTGAAATAAGATGACCACAAACTCATCGACAGTGTGTTAATAGAAATCCAAACTTGGAAATTTAGTTTTGTTGGTTTTTGTATAAAAATCGTAGATCTTTTTTGGGCTCACTGAACAAGTCTCTGCTTTAGGACTTTGAATGTGAGCGTTGTGTTCACTTTGGGGTTTGGTGTGAAGTCTCAGGTCCCCTAGAGACTTGATGGCTGTGGATTTTTTGTTGAAGGCTCGAAGACCGTAGGCTTTGCCGTCTCCTTACTTGCAAGCCATTAAAACAGAAAAACGGATCTCATGGCAGCATCCAGGTTATTTCCCTTTTTCGAGGCTTATGTATAGCTTTCAACGTGGCAGCTAAGGGCCGTTGTCACTGCAGTCATTCTTCTGTAAGTAAATTGATTGAGCTGGATATTTTGGCAGCTGATAACATCATAAAAGTTCCGTACCGCTATGATACATTTAAATGTCTAACGTGTCTCAGCAGCGTAGCATAGTATGGGCATTTTTGAGGCCGGCTAATTCAGTTTTATAATACTGGTGGCGCGATTTAATGTGGTTCATGAAGGTGACAAGAAGACTACTAGTTTATTGATCCAATGAATGTGTCGGTGTTTTGCAATCATTGGCGCCAAAGAATCAGAAATTTTAGTTGGATCCTACATCGATGAGCCTGAAAGATCAAGTTTTACTTATAAGCCTTAGTGCCTTTAATGGGTAGCCTTCAGTATAACATTTTCGGGCGGCCGGTATATAAGAGACCTACTTTAAACCCGGTGGTAAGTTGGTGGAGCAATGAAATTTATGGTGTCAATCTACATGGGTAACAAATGTGCATTTGTGCTATATTCGAAATACGGAACTCGGAGAAGGGACACAACTTTCCGGCCAAAATTGACAGAGGCATCTGTACTAATCTGTTCGACCAAGTCCTGATCTGGCGCCACTTGTGTGTGGATAAAACGTAGCTGCAATTTGTTACAACTTCCATCGTAAACACAAGTTGGGTTAAAGCAAGCAACTCCTGATTCATTCAGCGATGGTTGTCACCTGTATTTCCACAAGACAATCCATGGTTTGATTCAGTACTTTCAACGGATTTAGGCTGCTGTTTGTAGCGTTTACAGCCGTTTTGAGAGGTTATGAAACCAACCTAACAAACAACATCGTAATTTTTGAGCCAAACTAAGCTTTTGCGCTGGGAACTATAAATTTTGCCTGAGAGAAGGGTAGAAAATATTCAAAAATGGTGTCCAATCTAATATGTAAAACACCATTTTGATAGGTTGTAATTCCAAAAAAGGTCTAAACCTGAAGAAGTTTCTGACAAAAATTTGGACCGCGCTTTCTTCACATTAAACATTTGGGTCCACAAAAACAAAGAACAAAGGCAGCGAAACCGTGCTGTTGGTCCGTATGCTGGGAACGGCAAACTGGTGGAAGAAAAGCCAACTGTACGTGCAAGTGATATGCATTAGTTGCCTCAACATGCAGGCCGAAAATCCGGCAACCCGTTAGATAAGATGAACTCGGCCAATCTAAAAATATATACTACGGAATGATCCCCGTTAGCATGTGCTTTTAGGAGGTAAAATGAAATATCTTATTAGGATAGTGACCCCCGTGTATAATACTACCTCGTGCTTATACTAGATAGATACATTTTTTGGCCACAGAAATCTCAAGGCAAAAAGGCACTAAACCATCAGAGTAAAGTGCCAGCGTTTGAGAGCACCTCGAACAGATTCACGCGTAGTGAATCTGGGGACTAACTTAGCGTGACTAACATACCCTAGGTTCCTAAGTTGGTTATAGATTCAATCGACATTGAACGGGAATTTAGGCTACTTAATTGTCAACATTAGAAACGTACAAGGAGCTTTCATAAAAGAAACTACTAATTAGGTTGCTGAAAACTCTTCGACATCGTGAGTAGTTTTCCATATGAAAATATACTGCGATATCTCGATATCGTACCACCTGTATGCAGCACACTTAGTTGTAGCATACCATGAACGAGAGATTTAGTTGAGTTTCTCGCAAAACCCAAATTGATTTGCAAATGGGTGTATTTCTCAAAGACAAGGAGCTTGTTTAGCGTTCGGCTAGGCGGTTGACTGTGGGGGATTTGATAATTTTCAATTGCGATTCCGTTCTTTAAATGAAGCCAATCTATGGCGAGGAGCGGAGGAGCACTTTATGGCTGTTTTATCTCTATTGGAACTCACTATCAGTCTCTCACGAAACTCTCCAGGGGGTTTTGAACCGGTTACTACGTGACCACGTGATGTGACCTCCGTGACTGAAGGACGAGTGGGTTGACCACACTTTTGATCAGCTGCTCATGGTCAGACGGTTAAGTGCTCAAACTACTAGCCAGGAGGTTACGGGTTATAACCTCCCCTTCAGTTTTGTGGAATGCGCGCTGTTGCTTATTCTCAATAAAGATGAAGCCGCTATACAGTGCTTCTTGGCTTTTCAGCACAGATCAACTTAACCTACAGAAGAACCTCGGTTGATCAAACGGCTGCAACACTGTTTTTGTACCGAAATATTGAAGCGTTACTTTGTGTTTTGTGTCAGTTACCAGGCTACTTTTATGACGGTTGTGTTAGGAGGGAGGCAAGATGAAATGAAACTCGAGGAAATCGTATCACCGCTAGTTTCGATAATTCCGGATATTGACACCTGATTTTCGTGCAACAAGGCAGTGTAACCAGTCTTGTTCACGTAAAATATGCAATTATCAGCAATATGTAACCTGAGACGCAACATTTGGCAGAAACCTAGTTATTGACAAGATGCCATATAAGGAGAACCCACTGGGTCAAGGTAAAAGGCCATTGCACTGAAATTTTGTATAGTTCAGCAACACATGTATTTCGTTGCTCAAACTACGGGGGATTTTGTTTTCAGGTTGCTAACAAAGGTCTTAAAATCCGGTCCAATCAAGATTGGGAAAAAAGTTGGACGGTCAGGCTTTGCTAATTGTTGGCAGATCTTGGCTGATATTGAATATTCAGCTAGTGATGATTGTTGAAGATAATTTTACCGCCTTTAAGTGAGTGACCCGATAATTTGGATAGCTCACCTTATATGAACTTTTACTTGGAGGCAGCTGTTTCGTTATTGTCCATCAGCATTACATGTAGACTTCAGTGAAGTACTTGAGTGAGCTTGTCAAATTATTGTACATTGCATCATCAACGAAAAACTGACCACTGTTAGTTTGTAGTAAGCCAGTCAGTAAGCACATGTGGAATTCATCAGACAGCAACAAGTTAATGTTCCTATCCTAAACGATGGTGACCATCTCAGTGAATGAGAAAACAGGGACCTATGTGGGATTCAAATAGGGATTCGCAACTAGCCTCACCTAAACTACCTACCCAAACGCGACTCTTTTTTGACCATTTCATTTGTTACCTTGTTGATATTTGATGTTGGGCACTATACTGATTTCATAGGTTAATACAAAACGCGGAACCATGTAAGTGCATTACTAAGGTTACGAATTTGGTTTAAAGTACTTGCACAGACTGCAATTTAGTGAAATCCTGCGCTACGTTACCAACGCTTTCCTACCCGTTGTTGCTAGGCTACGGACAAAAATACAATGGTCACGTGGTTAGCAACCCCCTCGCCAGCTCTGTCAAATGTTTCTTGACTTCCTAAGCAGTACAGTTTAGGGGAGAGACTGGGAATAGTCGTAAAGGGTTTACTGAATGATACGAAAAGCAAGTTGTTAAACAGAAGCTTTACATCACGAATGTTCCAGTTTATATCAGGTTGTCGATATGAGATTTCCTCTTATGGTGTTCATTTGTTGGTTGATTTCTAATATAAACCTGCGGGAGCAGGTTAAGTGGTGTTACTTTTGTTGAAAAAAAGAAGTTGGTTGCAGCCACACGCTTCAGGATTTTTTACGCGATATGAAAATTCTCAGAGGGCTTCGCGGCATGTATAACAAAACGTACGTACAACAACAAAACGAGGACGTTGACTGGCCGTCCTGTTGATCATCATTTAAGAACCTGACTACAAAACTTCAGGTCCTCCAGAGGATCACGAAATAGCTGGGTGGAAATAAGCAATGGCTTTTGTTGGAAATTCATACGCTACCTGTACACAAGCCGTGGGCAAACTCTGAAAGAGCGACGCTTCTTCATCTCAGTTCTAGAGAAGTTCGGGGTTTGCACTCATGTACATTTTCGCCAATAAAAATCGTCTTACTGGTATGGTCGCAGTTCTAACGATACCGGGCTGACCGCCGCAATATATAGCTGCATTAAACTGCAAGTCAACTTTTAGTGGAATAAGGGTGAAAAACGACTGCAACCATTTATAACTCAAATTACTGCAAACAGAAGCATCCCACCATCAGTGCTCTGGCTTCGAGACTGCGCCCTGGTCATCCAGCTTGTTAGTCCTGTTACCTATGAGACACTACAGCACGATAAATACATCATAATTAGACAATCGTATATAAAAGTTGGTCGAGCGAAATAGGTTTACTCGCTGAATACAGTTGCGTCCCGTAAATTTTG